CATAGACTACCAACAAACAAACAAACATGTCTTAGAGAAAATACAACCAGAGAGCTCCTTAGAAGAAAGGAAAACAAAGCTTCATTTCACGTATTTTGGGCATGTTGTTGGAGGACTAATCCTTGGGAAAGAACATCATGCTTGGAAAGGTAGAGGATGAGGAAACTAGAGGAAGACCGTCAAGCACCTGGATTGGCACAACAATGGACTCAATTATGTCAGAGCTGATGAGGGTGGTGCAGGAGGGATCCACTGTTCATTGGATCATTGTGAATTCTATCAATTTGACTGTACCTAACAACAACAACAACAATCAAAAGAGCAAACCAATCTGTCTTGGAGGAAGTGCAACCAAGATGCTATTTAGAGCAACAAGAATCTAGTCAAGCTCTAGTAATCCTGAGAAATGAACAAGGATTGGGACACAAACTCAATAATACTGTTGTTATTGGTTGGCATGGAGTTGACTCTAACCCATGCAACATCAGGTACAACAGAACAAAGTTTTGCCTATTCTGTGCTATGTTCATGACTGTGGCCTGGTTTGTTACAGCAGTTATGTGACTGCACCATTGAGGGTTTCCCACCTGGTTCAACGACCCTCTAACAACCAGGGTGCCCTTTTCTAGCAATGGGTCTTTCCTAATGAACAACATGCCTGAATTAAGCAAGTTGAAGTCTGGTCTTTACAAGTCTGCTCATTTGTTAAGAACACTGGTTGTGTTTTGTTTTGGTTTGGTTTGGTTTCTTTCCTAAGACAAATTTGTTTGGTAGTTTGGCAGCCCAGAGTAACTTCAGTATTCTTTACCAATGCTGCAATATGAACACATAGATTCTTTACAGCAAAATGTTGCCATGGAAGCAGCAATCAATGAAAAAAAAAAGCTACATTGCATTGGAAAAATCTGCTACCAAATGGGGAAGAAAAAAAAAACTTTCAAAAAAAATTTAAAAGCAAAAATGTCACTTTGATGAGTACATCTTACTCAAAAAACCATGGTCTTTTCAATCATCCCAAAAGCATTTGCAAGTTCAAGAATGAAAAAAGTAAACAAAAGAATGAATAGATTTGTAGTCTGAGAGAATTCATCTCTTAATACCTAACATACGTTGCTTAAACCTCAAATTCAGTAAAGTATTTGAGACGCTTTCTTAGTTACATTTAGAGGAATAACTCATATATTTTTAAAGCATTGCCTTTAGCCAAAGCAATAATGTTAACTCTTTTTAAATATTTCAGTTATAACACAGTTCAGATACAGGCAATATTGTAGAGACTATTAAGAAAGAAGGTGCGGAGGGGTAGAGAAAGTTGGCTTAATTTGATTTAACCAGGAAAATAAATCTAATTTGATAATATGATAAAATCAAAATTGTAAGAGAAAAAAATCCTGTCAGATAAGTTTTCTCATCAGCATGTCAATTTTATACTTGAAGCAACATGACCTCCGCTAATCAGGGTGACTATTCAATGGCAAAGAAATTGCTTTCTTTTTTTGGTTTCCCCACTGAGGAAATTATATGAGAGATAGGAAGTAAATTGGATAGAAAAGATTAAAACCAGAGTTGCAGAGGTCACATGTAATTAGGAGATGTTTTGTATTGGAAGTAGTCACTTTTAAATTAAGAATATTCACTTCTAGTAACTGGTGACCTTGAGAGGGAGCTAATTTAATTGTATTTGCTTATTATTTACTCATCACTTTAACAAAAAGAAAGTTATTTTCCTACTCTTTAAGAAGCTGGAAGTTCTAATTTGGATAATCACATGTAGAGGAAAGCTTTGTGTCTTTCTCTCTGTCAAGAGGAAGGTCTGCACTGGAGGAAGGTCCTCCTCTCTTTACCTTAAGCTTAAATGTTCTGGTTCTTCAGAGAACATATATATTCACACATAGATTGAAAAGATATGGGGAAAGGACACATCCCTGATGTACTCTTTTCTTGATTTTGAATTATATAATGTTTCTTTGCTCTGTTCAGATGATGGCTTCCTGGTCTAAGTGTACATTTCACATGACCACAATCAAATGTTCTGGGATTCCCATTCTTCTCCTAAGACTTAGCAGGAATTAGCCACAATTTGTTGGGATCCACACAGTCAAGTCACTTTGCATAGTCAAAACCCCACAAATAAATGTTCTTCTGGTAGTCTTTGCTTTTAGTCAAGATCTATCTAAAATTGTCAATAATCTCCCTAGTGTCCTGGCCTCTTCCAAACCGAGTTTGTATTTCTGCAGTCCTCTGTCGATGTACTATTCCAGTGGTTTTTGGATATCTTCAGCAGGATTTTGCTTGTTTGTGATATTAGTAATATTGCTCGATAATTTTCACACTCTTCTAGCTCAGTGTTTTGGGGGAAATGGGAATAAATATGTATCTCTCCCAGTCAGTTGCCCAGGTGGCTTTCATCTAGGTTTCTTGGCACAACATGGTGAGCACATCCAGGGCTGCATCTGTTTATTGCAATATACCAATTCATTTTCCATTCATTCCTAGGACTTTTCTTCCCCAATTCCTTTATAGCAGCTTGACATTTTTCCCCTTCATCACCATTATCTTTTGATCGCCAAATTCTTCTGTGTCAACCAATTCTTTTTGGTAGAGTAACTCTGTATAATCCTTCCACCTTCCTTTGATGCTTCCTGGATCATTTAATATTTTGCCCATAGCATCTTTAAGTATTGCAGCTCAAGGCTTGAATCTGTTTTGCAGTTCCTTTAGCTTGAGAAATGCTGAGCGAGATTGTCCCTTTTGATTCTCTGACTCCATCTCTTCGCACATTTCATTAAAATACCTTGTTTTGTCTTCCCAAACTGCCCTTTGAAATCAGCTCCTTAACTTCCTGATTTCTTCTTTTTGCTTTGGTTTCTTGGCAATAGTCAGGGTGTCTTCGGATATCCATCTTGATCTTTTCTTTCTTCTCTGTCTTTGTAATGACATTTTCATTCTTCATGGGTGATAATCTTGAAACCCCTTTTTTTGTTCTTTAGTTATCAAGGCCTCAAGCATGTTCTTGAGATGGTTTTTATATTCAAGTGGGAGAGACACAAGGTCAAATTTTGGTTCTTGTGGCTTTGTTTTATTGAGCTTCAGTTTGAAGTTGTGCATGGTCTATTGCACAGTTGGTACCTGACCTAGTTTTCACAGCTGATATTAAGCTTCTCCAATGATTTTTTTTTTGCACAAAAGTGATCGATTCCTGTACAGCAACAGTCTTTTCTCTTCCTCCTTGAGTTCCCATTTCCATTGGTCCCTGCCTGTCCTTTTCTCTCTTCATGGTTTCATTTGGGAAGAGAGCTGCTTTTTGTTCTCAGATGGTTGATTATTCCAAGTACAACCCTCACACATGTTCATTGTATATGTTGTCTGATGATTGACTGCATTGTTCAATTTATAGGCTGTCCATTGTTTGATGCCTAGGAGTGGATTCAGTTCCAGGTTTGAAGAATGTCTAAAAGTCTCAATCTTGGAGGTTCCACAGTCTTAATCAGACCACTAAAACAGATCGTATCTATTTTTCTTTTAATTTTTCCTATATTTTTTGCCTATTCTCTCCAAAATCTTTTATAATCCTGATCTGTACAGTCAGTAGTGACAGCCAGGCACCATCTAGTTCTTCTAATCTCAGGGTGGTAGAGACTAGAGTTTGGGGAGAATTAACGTTAACACATGTTTTTCCTAAATCGACGAGTCTGTATGATGGGAGTACATGAGTAACAAGCTCCAACTCAGAGGATGAAATAAGCAAGGTTTCGATCTGGTGTTCACACGGTCACAAGGAGTCACACTCCATGGCACCTGACAACATTTACAGACTACTCCCAATAGCAGTAGATCCATGTCAGCTTTCGTCTTTAAGGACAAGGCCAAACCTAAGAGCTTGGCATTTAGTCAACAATTTGTAGATATTTTCAAATGTGTGAATAACAGTTCTAGTTCACTGAATTTTCCCGCTAGCTAAGAAGTAAGGCAGTTGGCCTTATGAACAGCTGGAGGCAAGTCCAGGCATAAGAAATAGAGAGAAGAAAGAAAGAAAGGAAAGG